TTCCTTGCTCTGTGGTGTCTTATTAAACACACAGCAACCACATTTTCCAACCTCAGTCTAAAAACGTGGCCTGAGAGTAGGAAAGGATATTGGAAATCAGAATTGTTCCAGAAAGCCCCCGACATATGACCACCATCCTCCAGCCCTCTTCCTGGAGCCGACAAGGAGTGGGCTTCTTATCCCATCAAGGTGAAGGCCGAGGGCCTCGTCCTATCATTTGGGAAACGTCTGCCCTGGAACCAGCTCCCTCCACAGGCAAATAGGCCTGCTTGATCTGACCCTGCCCTCTCTGACGGGAGCCTTGGTGGAGGGGGTCCAATGCAAAGGTCACCTGGACCTCGCTCTTTTTTAAGATTTTTATTGGGGAATTGGGGGATGGCAATAGCGCTGGGGAATTGGGGGAAGGGGAACAGACAAGTTGCTGTCCTTTTGTTCTTCAGTCTAGTTGTGGAGGATGTTGCTTCACTGGCCCAAGTTGGCACCATCATTGCACTCTTCCCGGGCGAGGCAGATCAGTCGCCGGCTTCTGGACGGCCGCTCACAGCAGCTGCTGGCCGCTCACACTGGCTGCTGGCTACACACAGTAGCCCATGGCAACCCACTGCAGCAGGGGCTGCAGCCTATGCCGTCGCCGGCGACTCACGGCAGCCCAGCTCCAGGTTGAGCTGTTGTTCAGCATCTTAGCTGTGGAGGGCAGTGTCACTGGCCCTCATATGTGGGATCCGAACCGGGGCCCTCTGGCGTCCCAAGCCAGCTCTTAACCATCGCGCCACTCGGCCGGCCCTGGTCCTCGTTCTTAAGCAACCTCTTCCATCCACTTTGGATGGTAGTTCTGCAACTCCAAGGTTAAGTTCTGCCCTTAACTGGGAACACGATGTTCTCTATCCCTTCAGTAGAGGCACTGTAGGTGGGCAGGATGGTATTGATGAGAGAAGGAAGGGCTTCCTGTGGACGAGAGTCAATGCTGCCAGAAGCTAACAAGCAATGGGGGCGAGTGAAGAGGGGCTTAGGTCTACCCAGGGGCCCGCTGTGGGTCTTCCCACATCCTCTGAGAGCTAGGGATGCGTGGGACTTGCCTGACAAGTGACTGGGTGTCCTGGGATGCCAAGCCAGTCAGGTGGCCAGTCCAGAGACCTTCTGCCAGGGGTCTGGCTTTGAAAGCTCCCCAGGAGAGCCTCGTTCATTCATTCATTCATTGAGTACCAACTGTGTGCCCAGCTTCATGCCTGGCACTGGAGCCCCAGAGATGCATCTGTCATGGTCCCTGCCCACAAGGAGCTCACAAGGGGAAGGATGCTATCCAGTTACTCACACACTTTCCTTCCCTGCTCACTCAGAAGCCTAGATTAAGTCCTGCCTGCTCCTCTATTTTAGCCCAGTTCTGCCAAAAGCTTTTCAGTACCTAGGCCTAGCTGTCATAGTCCAGTTCCATCCTCTGCCTTACTGTCACCTCTGAGACTGTACCCTTGGGAAATCCCACTCTGAGCGCTCTCTGTCTCTCTCTCCCGCTCTCTCTCTCTCTCTCTCTCTCTCTCTCTCTCTCTCTCTCTCTCTCTCTCTCTCTCTCTCCCTCCATTGTCCCGAGGAGGTTCCTCCAAGTAGTCAGCCCTGACAACCACTTCATTTTGTCTTTTCTTTTCTTCTATGTTCTCTTGTCTTTTTTGAACCTCCTCTGCTCGCTCCTTTTCCTCCTCCATCCCCTACCCTCCAAACCCACCCCCATCTGGGCTCTGGGCTGCCCTCCTTAGCTGGATACCCAGGCTTCCGGGGAAGCAGACCCAGCTGGTTTTATTCTTGTGGCAAGTGCCTCACCCCAGCCAATCTGCCCTGGACTCCAGGCATGGAAATCTTCCCTTCCTCCCTCTCACTTTCTGCCCTTCCTCAGGCACCTCCCAACTTCCTTTCCTCACTCCTTTCCCACCCTTCCTCCTTACCTTCATTCCTCTCTTCCTTCTCTAGCTGAAGGAATTGTGCCACCCCATCCTCTGGATAGAGCCTGGGAGAGCCTGTGGGCCCAGTGGCTGATTTGGGAGGACTGCCTCCCTGTCCCCCACCAATCATGCAACTGCCCTTTCCTTGCCCTCGTGGTTCTCCTCCCTGTTCCCCCAGAACTTTCTTTGTGCTCCTTCACCAATTCATCATTACTGCTGTCTTTCCCGCCTCCTTATCACCTTCCTTCTCCTTTGGGGAGTTTCCTCAAGCTTCCCACAACCCCTCTCTCTGGTGTTCTCTGCGTGCTTTCATCACACCAGTTTGCTTTGTGGCTCCTCTAGCACCTTCTTTCTCTTCTTCTCCCCCACCCCCTTCCTTCTCCTTTTTTCTCCTTTCCCCGCCTCCCACTGCCACCTCTTCCAGTAGCAGGCTTCCTTTTGCCTTTCCTTCCTCCCACCCTCTTTCTCCCCATTGCTGCCTCTGTAACCTGTCTTATCACCAGGGCCTGAGTATACAAAAAAATAAATAAATAAAAAGGTCAGTGAGTGGAGGGAGCAGCAATAACCCCTAAAACAGTACTATCAGTGGAACATGATTGATCAATTGAATTCCATAGCGGCTGAAAAATGTGGGATTAAGTAGTGTATTATACGCACAATGAGTTGAGGCATGATGTTCATTTCAAGTTCATTTCGCCGGCCTCTGCCACCAGATCAGGCAATCAATAGGGGCAGCAGATATCATATATCACCTCTCTGCGGGCTGGGGAGAGAGCACCATAATCTCTCGCAAATTTAGAGTGACAGATTTGTCAAGATCTGAAGGGCCCCTGAATAAATGAAGGAAAAGAGACTCCTCCAGCCAGTGACCTGAGGACAAAGCTTCAGTTCAGCCCCTACACACACACACACACACACACACACTCTCTCTCTCTCTCTCTCTCTCACTCACTTATGGGCTGAGCCAAGCCACACACAGGCATATACACAAATCTACACAGAGGTATGGTATGAGTCTTGCCACACATATGCCCACATCCGTGCACATAATATGTGAGCACACACTCACAGACAAATGCACTCTTTACTCTCCAGGACCCACTGGTGACACTGCAATAACCACACACAAGGACACTCACTGCCTCCCTCGGCCCTGACAGCAGGGCTTCCCAGAAAGGTAGGAGGAATTCAGCAAGAGAGAATTAGACACAATGGAACATGCAAATAGCTATAAGGGGTGGAATTAAGATGATGGCAAGTCCTTGAAAGAGAATCAGGCACAGGAGAAACATGGGGGACATGGGCGCACACTCCCCATGCAATCACGTACATCTTTTCAAAAGAGTTCTCGCTCTATCACTTACACATACCCAGACACTTATTTATCTGGATGTTTATGTGTGTAGAAATGTATCTACACAGAGAATACTCACACAAAAGGGAAAAATAAATATGCCACACCCTAAGTCAAACTCCTATGGAGAGATGCATATTACCCTCTCAGACAGAAAATCACTGCAGAGGCTTACACAGAAAAAAACACAACCACCAAGTTTTGTGTCCATAGGAACAGAGAGAACAGAAATACCATTAAGGCTGCCCCTGTGTCTGTCTCTCCATCCTCCTCAGACCTGATCCTGGTTTTCATTTCTCTCCCTTCTCCCTTTCTCTCTCTCTCTCTCTCTCTCTCTCTCTCTCTCTCTCTCTCTCTCTCTCTCTCTCATACTTTCTTTGCTTTCCCACCCCCTCCAGAATAGAGTGGAGGGAAGACAAGAGGTCCCATTAGGAAAGCAGACCCCCCCCCATGCTTCGTCTGAGAGGCCAGCAAGAGAGGATGGCTGCAGGTTGAGGTTAATCAATATGTAATATTTTCTATGGTCTCCCGAATGATACTGTATGGTGTTACTGTATATAATGCAATATTGATTATATCATATCGTATAATCACCTATAAACTGATATATATAACAGTTACAGAGAAACATCCTGGGCATGGGCTGGCCCCAGGCCCAAGGCTCCCCAGCTGGTCTTGGCCAAGCTGTGGCTGGGGAGGACCCAGCTTTAGTCCAGGGGAGTTGCAGGGTGGACGTTCAGGGAGAGGTGGCAGCACGGCCCACTGTATACTATGAAAACTCTAGTGGACCCGATGCAGAAGGGCAGGGCTAGAGTGTGTGGGGGAGGGGAGGGGGGAGCAGAATGGTGAGAGAGCCTGGGTAGGGCAGGACATGGACAGGATTGGCCTGCAGCCCAAAGCAGGCACTAGTGTGGCACACCCATGGCCTTTCCTTCCTGGAGCAAGTCTCAGCTCCCTGTGGAGACCTACAGGAGGAACCAGGTAGCTGAGGAACTGGCCTCTGATAGAGGCCGAGCCAGAGTCTGGTTCAGGCACAGAGGCCGAGTGGGGTGGCCCGGGTCAAGGGCCTCCACAAAGACACTTTCTTCAGTCTCTGCCCAAGTTAGTGTTTTACTGCTCACCTGCCACCTGCTGTCCTCCTGCTCGGGTCTCAGTCCTGGCCCGATGCAAACAGAATGCCTCAGCTTGGCTTCAAGTCCCTCCTCCCTTGGTGGTGAAGTTAATTACTTCACTCAGTCTCCATGTTACACTCAGCCTCGGAGATTTGATGATTTTCCACCCTTGGAGTCAGTGGAACTGAAATTCATCTCAGAGCCAAGTTCAATTCTCCACAGGCTGGGTAATACCAGTCTGAGACACTCAGCTCCTCCCCCAGGCTGACCCAGGCCAGGGGACAGAAGGGGTTCAGGGGAGATGGCCCCTGGGAGCCCCTCTGGCTCTACCTCTGTCTAGTCCTTCTGCCCCCCCCCCCATGCTGGGACAACTTCCTTGTCTCTTCCTAGGTCTTTCAGAGGCTCTGACTTCCTCAGCCAGATCTCTGAGGCATGGCCAGCCCCTGGGCCAGCCCCTCCAGCCTCAAAGCTGGGAGTAAGGTGTCCCAGCAGGGGTGCAAAGCCCTAGGGATCAAACCAGGTGCCCACCCCCCTTTGCCTACTGCACTGCTCTGTGCCTCTGCTGGCCTGCACTGATGCCCCGAGTGTCCATGTGTCCTCCAGATGTGTCCGAGGGCTCAGTCCCCAATGGAGACTCCCAGAGTGGCGTGGACAGTTTGCGGAAGCACTTGCGAGCTGACACCTTCACCCAGCAGCAGCTGGAAGCTTTGGATCGGGTCTTTGAGCGTCCTTCCTACCCTGACGTCTTCCAGGCATCAGAGCACATCAAATCAGAACAGGTGAGGAAGGCGCTTGCTGTGTGCAGAAGTAGAAAGGAACTGGGTAGAACAGGCCTCTGGAGAACGTGCACAGCGATCAGCCATGTGTACGCTCAGCATTGCATATGCTACATATGGGCGCACCATGTGTGGGCCCTGTGAACAGGCTCACATAGGACATTAGAGTAGAGTCAGGACAAATCATTATGATGTATGGTAGTTAGCAATAGTGAGTTCTTAGTGCAAGTATGGCCTTGGGTAAGTCTTACCCCTTCCAGAGCCTCAGTTTCCCTGTCTATAGAACGAAGGGCTTGGATGTATGATCTAACAGGTCTCTTCTGGCCCTGCCATTCCCTGCTTCTGGCATAGAGTACTGGGAAATGTCCTGTTGCCTAAATGCCCCCCAGGGTCCCACAGAAAGTCTGTGCAAACCTGTGGCACACTTCTTGCCCAACTGTCTGCCTCTTGCTCCCAGCTGTACAAAGTAACCCAGGCAGGCTGACTGCCTACCTCTCAGACCCAATACTGGCATTTATTCAGTCCTACAGATGCAGAACAGCCCAGAACACACAGCATGGGACACACCCCACTGCACATTTCTATAATATGCAGCATAGAAACCTGTCTCCTAACTCCTCCCATTCACCCGTGTGCGCATATTTACACACCACCTGCTTCCTCCCCCCACATAGCCCATAGTACTCACAGCATACCCCCCAGACCACCAATTCAGCACCTTCCAGCACTCACCTCTACCCTCACCTCAGTGTAGCCTGCAGAACACATGCTCAGACATGGAAGCACACACCCATTCCTCCTAGATCTATAGCCTAGGCCAGGCCCACCGCCACAGCATCATACACTGCTTGCACACATGCACACACACATGTGCATATGTGCAAGTGTGCACATGCACACACAAGCACACGCACACCAGCACAGCTCCACTGGCTCCACACAGAGCCTTTAGGCTCTAGGACTCCAACAGCTCGCAGCTACTCGCCTTTCTCCCCGCCCGTCCTTTTATCCCATAAGCTGTTTGTCTTCATAAAACAAAAATCAAAAGTCTTTTTAAGGTGCCCTGAGCCATAAACCAACAAAGGAGGAACTGGCTGAGGCGGGCGGCTCGGTGCACCCTCCCCGAGTCCCCGGCTGTATTACAATGAATAACCTTTATTTACTTTCATTAGACTATTAAACACCAGCACAGTCATTTTTCCCCCTGAAACTCGGAGCAGGGCCCATAAAGCAAATCCGAAGCCTAATTGAGTTCATTTTAATTTCTCTCCGATCACAGCGAATTACTCTGGTGATAAATCAGGGGGCAGCTTCACCCCCAGTAGAAGGCCTAATTTGCAGCTAATTACAAAACTGATTTCTACAGGAAGATCAATACAAGAAGGAATTGGAAATGACGAGGCAATCCCGTCCAGCCAGGGAGGGGAGGGGGTCCTCTGGGGGGGCCAGGAAGCGGAAGGGAAAAAAACGGACCCGAAAGAGCAGAAAATCAGTTTTAATTTAACGTAATATTAATCAGAGCAACTTTTCCTGCTTTGTGCAGGCTCCTGGCCTGCCCGGCTCTGGGGTCTGGCTTGGCGGTGGCTGCAATAAAAAGGCAATTACCCGAGTGTTTCGGGCAGGACACCCTTTCAGAGTCAATGACTGGCCCCCTCCCACCCTTCTGTTAGCCATGTGGACTCTCCCCCTCCCCAATTTCATACCCCAGTGCACAGGCGGAGAGCAAGGGGCCTGTGGGGCTGTCTTTGTTTGTTTTTAAAAAAGGGGCGCCAGCACCCTTTCAGCTGGCCCAGCAGTGCCAGGCTGGAGGCCCCATTAGGCCCTCCCCCCAGCTACTGCTTCTGCCATCATGTCATGGTCGCCCCTCCTCCTCAAGGTTCCCCACCTCAGGGGGACCTTAAAACACCCCTTGCCTCTCAGCTAGGGGATCCTCATTGCTATACTCCACCCTTGGGGCTTCTTAGGCAGGAGCTGTTACAGAAATGTACAGGGTGCTGGAATAACCACTGATAAAGTATAGGTTGCACCTCAGCTTCACAGGCCAGGTCTGCCCCCACCCACACAAAACTCTCCATCATCTGTGGAGCCCGCCCCTCCCACTCTCCCCCTCCTCTGCCTGGCCATCTCCTTCCACCCCATCTGGGAGGGCTCCTCGGTCCTCCTCCCCATCTGCACACTGAGCCCTTTCTCCGTGTGTGCGCATCAATAGAGAGCTGTCGCTTTTCTCTCTCCTCCCAGGGGAACGAATACTCCCTCCCAGCCCTGACCCCTGGGCTTGATGAAGTCAAATCGAGTCTATCTGCATCCACCAACCCCGAGCTGGGCAGCAACGTGTCAGGCACGCAGACATACCCCGTTGTGACCGGTAAGGGGGCTTCCAGGAGGGTGGGGGCACAGCTTTCAATGGGGGTGCCTCAGCCCATGCCATCTGGGGCCCAGTGTGACAAGTGGGCCCCCTGCCATGATATCTGCAGAAAGAGTGAGCCTCCAAAAACCAGGGTGCTTCCCGAATAGATGTGTGCAGATGTGAGGAGGAAAAATTGTGGTCAGGGTCTCTGTGCACGTCAGCCTGGAAAGGGGACTATTTCTGGCTCTTTCTGCCCATCCTCTGGCCTCTCTCTTTGCATTTTTTTCTTGCCTACACCAAGGTGCCCAGAATTGTAAGCCTATTGCTAGGACTTGTAGGAGAAGGCAGAGGGTAAATAGGCCAGACTGGCAAAAAGGGAGCATGAGTGCCCAGTGTCCAGCCTCCATGCCCTTGTTTCCTCAAGGCTGCTGGGAACCTGCTTTCCTTTCCTTCTGGGCAGCTTGGGTCGCTGTGGCTTTGGGCTTCAGGACATGGCTTCCAGCTCTGCCATTATAGATAAGTACAATTATCCTAGCCCTTCCGCTTCCCAGAAAAATCACAGAGACCAAGCCTTGATTTTAAGACCAGGCAGGGTCTGGCCTGTCCCACAGTCAGATGCAGGGTGAGGGGGACACCTAATCCAGGTGCTCCCATGGATTAGGAGCAGCAGAGGCAGCGAGAGTGGAAGAAGGCTGAGGTGTAGCGCAGTGAAGAGCCCAGCTGATGAAGCTCTAGGCCTCAGAGCTGCCGGCTGTGGAAGGCGCCTGGCACCGCAGAAGGGTTTCCAGGCCAGGAAAGTGCCCAAGTGGGAGAGACACACATTGAGGTGTTATTAAAATTCACCTAATTATTCTAGAGACACTAAAGCCAATGTGCCGTTTGTTCCTTGGGAGACAGAATGATTGAGAAGGGTCTCGGTGGGGATTGGGAGACACTGAGGCGTTACCTGCAGAGCAAGGCGAGCGGAGGCAGCTTGGGGACCTGGCAGCAGGGCTGCAAGCAGCCAGCATCACAGCCAATGGCAAAGATTGGTAGCATACCTGGCCTCGCTGTAGGATAGAGCCCTGGTTCTGATGTGGAGCTGATCTGAGTATGGCTCAAGTCTGAGGTGGATGCAAGTGGCCACCCAGCCTCCACCTGGGGTCTTTGGAGAGAACCCTGTTGTTACCTTTCTCAGAATCTTGTTAAGGAGTGTCTTGGTAACAACTGTTTCCAGCTTGGACAGAGTTGAGCTCTTTGGCTAGGCAATCAGAGGTTGAGTTCTGGAAGTGTCAGAGAACTGGATGGACCGGGCCTTTGGGAGTGACAGCCTTAGCTGGATCAGGACACAGCCTATTATCAACTGGCCCTTGACATGAGCCCACTTCAGCCCAACTTGGAAGCTCTCTGAGCTGCTGGGTATTCTGACCCAAAGCAGAGAGATGGCCTAGGCCAGGCTACCTTTCTCTTGACCTGCTGAGAGTGACAGTGGTCACTTCCTAAAGGTGGCCCACCCCAGGCAGCTGGTGAAAGAGAGCCCATGAGGTTTTCTCTAATCCCAGCCGTCCTTCCCTGGGCCCAGTCCAGAAGGCAGGGGCTTCCTGCCTTGGAGAGATGGAACTTTGGGGCAGAGCTCCTGCTGCAGGAGAACTTGGGCTGGTGCAGAAAAGTCCTTCCACCTTGAGCCTCCCCCGCCCGCCTCCCCCCCATGGCCCTGGAACAGTCCCAGCTCAGCCTGGGAACATCTCCGGCTGATCCATCTGGATCCAAGTGTGAGAAAAGTTCATTTCAGACCCAGCTTGACATTCCCAGGTGGCAAGTTAGCACTAACATCTCAATCTGTATGCGACATTTCAATCAAGCGAGGAGTAACAAAAGCAGAACCATTAACATTCGGAGCTGTTCACCAGTGGTAATGACGGGGAAACTCGCTCAGAAACTGGAAATTACCAAAAAAGAGAGAAGTGTGTGGAGAGATGGGGGAGGGGAGATGGGAGGGGTGGGAGCATGGAATGATTTTTCTACACTTAGGCCAAGATCCAATGTTTGGATGAATGGTGCCATTACCCGAGAAAGGGCTGCTCATTCTTAAAATGTTTTTGCTGGCAATTAAACGGCTGCAGTTATTGATCTTTGTTGATTTTATGTCCTCCTAATTTGCATAATCTATTAAAGATGAATGATTCATGATGTGTTTATTATGGGGACAAACAGAACTTGCTGGAGGTACTGTCAAGGTGAGAAATTGGGCAGTGTCCAGAGACTTCATGGGCCATCTTAGGAGTGGGGCCAGCATGTTGGCCTTCAGGCCAGGACTTTGTGGGGAGCAGTGAACAGTGATGCAAGGAGAACAGACACAAGAGTTCTTCTAGAAAGACGTGGGCATCTGTGAGAACCAGGCTCTAAGCATGGCTGGGATGTGCTAGAGGCTTTTGGTGTACTTGTAGAAATTTCCCTCAAAGATTCTTAAAAAGCTGATTTTGTTGAAAAATATGAAGAGCTTAGGGAGAGGAAAAAACAGGGAGGCCCTTTCAGGTAGGTGATTCTGGCCAGGTGTGTGCTCAAAGTGAGAGGGCAGGTGGGTCATCCTGTGTCCACAGCCTGGCGTGGGTGTACCCAGGTGTTCAAAGAGCCCTCTTCATCCCCTCCGTTCCAGACACCCAGCTTATGTTCTTCTCTGGGGACAGGCAGCTGAGGTTGCAAACCTCCAGGGATGAGTCCTGAGGAAACCAGCCCAGGAGTGCCCTAGACTAACTCGAAGAGCCGACCTTATTGATATTCCTGCCACCTCCTGGCACTGGAGGCTGATTTCAAACTTCACCAGCCACTTGATACATCTGTTCCACAAGGTCAGGACTGAGAGGAGCTCGGAGCTCGGACTATTGTGTGGAGGGGAGCGTGGGGCCCAGTGGGCCAGGACACAGCTAATCACATTGCAAGCAAGGGTGGCTGCCAGAGGCTGGGGCTCGGCCGATAGCCGCCTCTCCCCACCTTCCATCATGGAACCAAGGAGAGAGACCGATTTTTCTGGGTAGTGTTTGCAAGTTCTGCCGAGATTTTAATTTCACTGCATCACAACTCAGCAAGCTGCCAAGTCAAGCTGGTTATTTAAATTTATCACCCACTTTCCCTTCCGCCGCTGGGCTGCTCTAGCTCAGCAGCGTCCCTTCTCTCCAGCCCACTGCTCTAGGCTGCTGGTCTGGAACGGAGCCGAGTCGCTCCTAAGTGATAAGGAAAAAGGGACCAGTTAGATGAGAGAGTGGGTTGGGGGCACTCTGGCCCCAGGCTTCCTCAGGTTGGCTGACTGTGGCTGGTACCTTCTACCAACTTCTTGCCCTTTCAAAGGACCCCACAGGGGGGGCCTCCATCAAGCCCTCAGTAGCCCCCGGGACCTCTGGGTCAGGGCCTCTTCGGTGAGTTAGTGCCTTCATTCCTTCACATCTCCCATCACTGGTAGAAAAGAGCCCCTCTGCCCCATGACCTCCTCACTTCAACCCCTTTCTTCTTGTGCCTGGCCAGGTCTGCAGCCATGGAGGAACATAAGGGGACACTGGCATTCATGTTGATCTGGGAGGAGAAGATGAGTACTAGTTTCAGGATTCCCAAAGTCCTTTGGAGATGTTTCAGAGCATTTAGAGAGTCCCTTGACCTGGTGAAAGTCCACCTTAAAGGTGAGAGCAGGTTCTCTTCCCTGGAGCCTGAATGGCGTGCCATGGAGCTGGAAGAAGTCAGTCATTGTGCAGAGGCTCTCCATGCTCATTGCAGAAGCAGAGGAATATACCAGTCCCCAGAGCCGCTGCACCAAGCAGGCTTCACTGGCCTCTAGTGGGCATCGCTGCCACACTCTGGGAGAGCTTTGTGCAAGTGCGGCTCTTGCCGCCCTCATTTTAGTCCCACAGAGGTACTGGAGGAATGAGACTTGAGGTCCAGAAACAAGGCAGATGAAACTCACCAAAACATAGCTGGGTAAAATATAACAACAAGAATTGTTAATACACAACCAAACCTCACTCTTTGGTGCCAGAAACAGAGGGAGACTCAAAGTCAGAGTATGTGAGAGACTGCTGGGTATCACGCTGAACGTGAGCTCTAACTGGGGGAGGCTGAGGTTGGAACACACCAGACAGGAGACATGACTTTGGGCCCAAATGAAGCAGGAATCTAGAACAGAGTATTATCCTGCATAATGCCAGGAACCGAGCAGGACAGCACTATCCATGACAGGGAAACGCAACAAACTCATCCCAATGGCCCAGGGAAACAAGTGAGGCGTGGGGGGGATCTCCATGAGAAATGGAGGCTCCAAACGGGACCCTGGTTCACAGTCCAATTTTATACCATGAATATATGGCAGGAATCCCCAGCCAAAAACTTACATAAAAATTTGTCCAGGATAGTAATCCACTCAGAAACCCCAGCAGGAACAAGGGCAAACCTCCTCTGCAGAGACATCCCACAATCCAGGGCACCGGGATTCCCACAGGAAAAAAAAAAAAAAAGAAAAAAGAAAAATCCACCACTAAAGATGAGCTCACTATGAAAAATTATGCACCTCATATGAACACTAACTGTCATGAGGGAGAGTTGGCAGAAGGAATAAATGGGACAGTTAACACCCCCCAAGAACTGGAGATCATAGAACAATCCAAAAGCAACTATAAAAGAAGCATGTTTAATATTCTAAACAAGATAAAAGAGAAGCATAGTTTGGTGTTTATTGCAAATCCAGATCCTACAACCCCTTGCCCACCACAGCTCAGCAAATTGGAAGATAATGAAGATCGTAAAGGGTAAAGAATGAAGACCCCACCCATAGCTTATTGTTTTGGGGTTCTGGGGCCATGGAAAGAGATGAGCCTCAGGCAGCCCTGAAAGTAAAGCCTGTCCCTGCTTCTCCAAGTGCCTAGATGGCTAAGTCTCAGTAGAGAATCTACCCTTTACCTTAGAAAAATGTCAGAACATTGGAGAACTATGACAAGAGCAGTACATTCCTCCCAGGGAGGAAGGGGGTTTAAAAAAAAAAAAGCCGTATTAGCTTC